GAACGTACAATAACGCTTTGCAGGTTCAAAACCTTGAAGAACTTCACACGGACTAACGAGACGATCTGCTCTGCTCTGCGTGGGATCTACCTTGGCCCAAACAATGATCAGACCTCTTTGGACAAGCGAACTGACCTTACTCTCAGCAGTGCAGAGAAAAAAATGTTTAGAGGTAGCTTGCAGCGATCCTGGATTGAGTGTTATTACTCACCTTTCAGATCTCAACTGATGCCACAGCCGACAACATCCACGAGGATAAAACCACCAGAGACATCTTGTCCACTTTAGTGTTGGGCTTGCTGACATTGAAGAACGAACAGCTGCGATGAGATGAATATTGGAAGTGGAAGGAAAGGTAAAGTGCCGATTGTCGAGGAGGTTTGAGACGAAGACAGGCACAACGAGGCCCATTCTTCGATTTCTAACGAAAAACTGGTATTCCTTGACAAAGTCGACCCTGTTCTGTAATAAAAGGATATTAGAACATGGTCAGGTTGGGTTTGAATCTCGTTAGGACGCTTCACATAGATGCTAGCTAGATGTCCTGAGAGAGTATTCCGAGTTAAGCCTGAGAACGTTATTTGCAGTACACGAAGTCCAGCATCTCATGATCACGAATCGTTCATGATCGATGATCGATCAACGTTCAACATGTAACTTGACACCGAGCTCATGCATGATCAAAATATCGTGAATATGACGCCAATTCTGGGACAACTCATCGTAAACTCCCTGACGACTTTGCTGTAGTCCTGATCATACCGTAGAGTCGTGCTATCGGAGTTCAAGTGAACGTTCAATATTTCAGGCTAATAGTTGTCCTCCACCTCCCTGGCAATTGAAAGGGGCCTCGTTCACAGCCCTGATAGCGGCAAGCACATCAAAACTGTACCATAGAACCACACGTCGAGTCCCAAAACCGTCCATTTCCGCTGTTGTTAAAATGGATTTGTCAACACAATAATCATAGCAGTAGAACCTTCCAACGGTCGATGATAGGGAGCTGATACAGAATCTGCGGCATCCTGGCTCTTCCTTAGACCAATACGTAAATACACGGGCAACGGAAGTAAGATAATCACATATCATTACATCCTGTGATTCAATGACTTCGATGGTATGCGGTGATATACGTGACAATGCGACGAGACTTGTTTTCTCTAAGAAGAATGAACATTAGTTGCTTCTACATAGTGGCGATGCGGAAAGCTCACTGACATTTCATTTCAAATAGCTCGATACCAATGAGGCGGGCCATCCTTCCCCATCGCCTCCTTCAAAGCCTTATAATTTGCCTCCGGCGGCGGGCGGGTTGACATCCGTTCTCCAACAGTAATAGGATCGTCACAGGCGAGGGCAATGCACCAGAAATATTTGCCCTTGGGTGTTTTTATTGCACGAAGTCTGGCGTAGGAGAGAACGCCCGCCGCTGCCATAACATGCATGGGAAACAGTGCTAAGGATATCACGCGAGTCTTCTGGTGTCTGAGCGGGCGGATAGCCCAGATCAAGGGCTTTTTGGTGCAACCAGCCCTGAGTTATCAGATATTCCGAAGTATTTTACCATGACTGTGATTGAAGAAGCGTTAGAATATAGAATACAGACGATTCTGAATGCAAGTACACGCTCTGACCTTGGGTCTATGATGATGTTTGTTTTCGACCCAACGGTTGTGGCACCTTTTATAGTAAGTGTCATGTGACAAGGCACGTGCCTCCATATGGGATCTTGGTCAGACTGTGGCTCGGTCACTGCAAAATTGACTGGATTGAACTGATGCATAATCACCGTGCAGCGTATTGTGTTCTCTAATTGTCCTCTTTTTATCCATCTAGTTCAAAGTTGAAAGGACTAATATTTTTGTTTCCTCTCTTGGGATTACTTGCCACGTCATGATTTGTCCGAACCGCGAGAATGATGAGAAACTTGAGCAAGGTCAAAATCTATGTTCACTGTAAATACTGCACAATGAAGTAAATTTTCCGCAAGAAATTGAAGTCCACACGACGTATATTAATTCATATTGGTCGCTGTCATTCGCCGCATCTCATACCACCACCCATCACAATGGCCCCTGATCAATCGTTGCCGTGCAAAACTCGCTTGGAGACGTCCTATGCATTCTCTCGCACATTCAATTCCCGCAATATAGAGTTTTATTGGTACCCACTGTGGTGCCAGACACTCTTCAATCTTGTGGCAGATGTGCCAAATTTGATCATAGCGCCTCAATTTCCAGTTTGGATCGTAGAGCACAACAACCAACTCGAAGGTGCAGATGATGGTGACGATCCTGCAGAAGTAGAGGAGATTAAAAGGACGCCCGAGGGAGATCAGGCTGTTGCATGCAGTATGCAAGTCCCAGGTGATAACATCGAAGAAGATGTCGGAGACCATGAGCCTGACTCGGAGGCCGGGGACATTTCTTTTGCATCAACCGTCCCGGAAAAGGATGCTAGGAGCGTTCTGGTGGATTTTGCAGTTGTTAGTCTGACAGCAGTGCCTCAGTCAGAGGAAAAGCTTCGCTATGGAGGGTGGCGAATAACGGCAGCAAATACTTGCCTTCTCGTGGAAGTGAAAAGGTTTGCGAGCAGGAGTCTGAAAAATGACGAGCTGGATGCGGAGATTAAGTTGCATATTGAGGAGGCTAGGTTCGATTTGATGGTACAAGCAGGACATATTTTTCTCCAAGATAAAACCAAAGATTCTGTCATGGCCATCGCCGCAGCAGGTAAGTAATCCACACCATATATCTGAATTACATACCTTGACCTTGCATTATCATCATATTGTAGGTCCTTATTGGAGCGGTGCCACAATTCATCGTTACAACGTCGAAGCCATTATGGATTTTCTGTCAAGCAATGATCCGAGCTATCGACCCCCTGGCGAACAACTCTCTAACAAGACGCCGAAGTGGAACAAGATTCTTCGCCTTGATGGCACATCCTCCACAGCAGCTTCCGAAGCCCGCTTACGTACCATTTGCAAGAAGATGAGGGAAATGAGAGATCAAAAAACGAACGCCAAGTAACGTGATGTTCGCTGGGCAGTGGGGAGCGTTGTTGTGAACTTGGGCTTTGGTTTTTTTTTGACTAGGACTTCCCCGTTGTGATTCGTGAAGATAATACTTATTTGTTCCAAACGACAGTAGTACGAACCAACTAGTGAATGAAAAGCGAGCTCAGTAAGCCGTTGTGACAGTGGATGGACGTGCCTGTCCATTTCCCAGATCATTCCAAAATGTAAACCGCGTGAACAATTTGGATGCAGCACAATTATCATGTCAAGGATCTCAGTTCGCATCAACGGTATCGTTCGAAGGTCTGCTTGAGTGGTTAGGTCAAAGCGTCCATCTGTGAAGAGGCTGCATGCTCGAGCAGAAAGCAAACAGGCATGTTAGCTATGCAGTCCAGTCTTTCGAAACGTGATCATGGTGTTTCTCACCATCACAACCAGTTTGACCGTACAATGAAAAGCGTGCGCCCATACTGACCGGCAAGTACGATAGCCATTAGAATGTCGTACAGGTAAGTTTCACGACCGTCCGCCAGCTAAGTGATCTAATCATGACAACTAACATCACCCAGGGTGAAGCTCACCTCATTTTATACAGGGAGTCATAAACCAATAAACAACATGGATTACTACCGCAATGACGAATATCAGATCAGGACTCAGGGAATATCTTCGACGAGTAGGATACAGGCTATGTATTTAGACGTTAGAAACACGTCACGAAAGAAAAATCCCACTCATCTGCCTCCACGACCCCCTAATCGGTTGTCTGCCTGGAACATGCATCCTGTTGAGAAGATGAGCCACCCTTCAAGTCTGATAGATTTGACTTCTCAGCTGTTCTGCATGATTGGCGCGATGAAGGATGTGCTGAGTGGTAGGATTGGACGGGAGGTAGGGATATGGAGACTGCGAATAAAGTTTAGGCAAGACAGAAAGGAGAAACAGGAGGGTATGCAGGTCCTTGTTCCACTCAAAAGCGCTGAGAGCAAACGGTGAGACTCGCTTGAGCAGCAGCAAGATCCACCCATGATAAGGTAATGACATGATCGTTTGTTGCAACCTCCCTAGGAACATTTTCGACGAGTAGGACGCAGGCTATGTATTCAGTCGTTACGAACCACTGACGAAAGTGCCATGAGGAGTGGGTCTCTTCAAAGCCTTTTCCCTCGCACTTACTAATCGATACTTGCAGACCATGATCGTATTCCAGCAAATGTTCTATTGTGGAGATTTCAGGTATAACTTGAATGCGATATCATGTATAGTGGATAATACTTATCTGTGTTCTACGCTGTGACCAGCATCCGTCTGAGATCATGTCCGACCGAACGACATTCCGAGAAGCTGACTGATGCCACAGCCCGACTCCACGGTAACATCTGTGACTTCACTCGTTCACTCATTACGATTGATTGTTCCTTGGATAGCGTTTTTTATAGCGCAGCAGCATATGAATAGAAAGGATGGCTTCTGCTCACATAATGGACTTAGGGTATTGGAGATATCGCAGTCGGCTGAGTCCGCCGCCGGGCCTTGTCGCGCGGGTTGATTTGAATTGAATCGTGCCGCATTCGTCATAATGCTAGCACCGCTAGACACAAACCGCTGGGATAGATGCGGACATCGTTATCTGGCTGATTAATCAACAATCAGAATACCAAATATTGCCTAACCTCGTTTGTATTAGTGATGTGAACTTAGGCGCTGATGCATTGATGAGTCGAAAACTCACACCTAGATGAAGTGGGTCAACAAAGGACAACACGCCCGCTCCTGGGTGGAAACAAATAACCGCTTCTCAAATCTCAGTCTCTCAGCGAGGCTCATTTCAAATGCCGCATTCACGGCATCCTCGCCTGCATTCACTGCGATGTCCCTTGCTTTCGCCACCTTTACGACCTCATCAACGACACTGCCCTCGGGTACAACCCATAGGATGCCCCAGCGTTCTGCCTCGTCTGCACCAATTATATGTCCGGTTAGGACGAGTTCGAAAAAGCCGTCTCTCAGGACGACATGCGCAGCTCCGATGGCTGTCTTTAAGTTGTTCGGCTTTAGAAATCTCCTGCTCAAGCCCTCAGGCTATAGACTGGACATACAGTGTATTACTCCTGCGCAATCTGCTATCTTCAACTAACCAGGGCAATTTGATATGCCTCGCTCTCACAACAGAACGTGCACCCATAATCCCAAAGTTCCTCTCGACTCATATCAACTCAAGGGCACCTCCATTTGTTCTCGAGGACGTGTTTGACGTCCCTCGACTCAGTTAAGCCATAGGGATTCACTTCAATGGTACGAAGTCAAGCATCCAGAAAGTCAGGTCCTCGATAATCTTGGTTGCTGGCCTGTCTGGGAAACCGTTCAACAGCACATCGGGATTCCTGAACCACGACGAAGTCCCTCCCTGAACCTACTCAAGCTCTGTGAGACAACTCCGAACATCTCTATTCGGCGATTGAATGCATGGCCATCACAGATCTTTCGTGGACATGAACCCCAGCTTGGATCGAGCTGACATCTCCTAGCATACATCACAATCATGCATCCTTTTGCTCTCTCGCATCACTCGGGTTTCCAGAGACTCGTTCGAAAGGCCTGGAGTTATCATTGACAAGTCGTCCTTCTCAACACCAGGTCTCCCTTCCCACGGGCGATCACGTATTATGCTTTGATTCCCTTTACTACATAAATGCTCATCATACATGGGAATGGGGATTAGACTATTCTCCTGTATGGAGATTTGTAGGCCGATATATGCGATGGACTGCAAGCGTGGAAAAGATTGCCGATGAGCCATGAATGTACCAGTAACTGAACAAATACCTCCCGTGAGTCAAAGTTTCGGGCATAGGTTACTCTACAGATCTAACTTCTGATAGTATATATCGATCCACATACGGCACGGTGACTTCGGCCAACAATGCGAGGAGTTCCCAGTGGATCAGTGCTTCGCCCCGTTGTCTGTCATTGCGCGCAGGGTGTTCGAGCGTCGCACACGAAAAGGGATTAATGCCATGCATGTTATCATGACGAGCGATGAAAGGGACCCAGAATGGTGGTCAGAGATTAGGGCATTGGGGTGGAACATGGGTAGATTATGCAGCGGAACAGACAGAGGAGACCTATGGAAAATGGTGAGCCGATCGGATATCATATTTTCATTCTGACGGTGTGGCTGTTACCAGGCATCCAGTGTTCCTCGATGCCTATCATTCAGTCGAATGGAGCTGGCTTCTTTGGCACTCGTGGTTCCACGATGCCCACACTAGCTAGCCGCAGAGTACAGTTATGGCATGACGGAGCAACTCGACTAATTAGATGGGGGTGGCCAGGCACGGACGACCACTGATCCTGATCGGATGCTAGAATCAAGACTATCTTGCGCTTTACAAATCATTGGCTACAATGTTCTTGTAGTTGTTGTTTATGATGCGCATAATGGTCACTCTCGGGCTCGAATTCACCGCAGGCGAAAGCAACAAAAGCTTAATCTTCTTGGTGCACAATACTGGAAATGTTCCCTTCCTGACGGGGATCTTCAAGACGCACCATAGAGATCCAGATACTTCATACTAGTCTACAGCGAGCCGTAAGGTAAGCGGTCATGAGACGTAAGACTTGAGCTTGAAAGTTTGTTGCAGAGGTGTGATACTCGCTTGATGTCACAGCAGGGCTTGAAACTGTGAAGACAAATGTCGGACGCATGTAGCCAGTGCAGTCGGTCATCACTGGCTGGGAGTGTTCTTGGGGCTGAAACGGTGATGGCGAACTGCCTCTTATCTTGGGCGTCTATGTAAACGAAGAAGGTTGGCGTGGTGAAGTAACATAAAAACGCACAATACACGCACCTCTATAACTTGGAGACAGACGCACACAATCCTTCAGTTGTGCTCAACAGCATCAATTTCCAGCAAAATGTCACAGCTCGTTCCAAGCACCACGCCCAGTCGAACTTTTGAAGATCATGAGGGGCACATAAGGGCAGTCGCAGTGTTCCCCGATAAACGACGAATGATTACGGGCTCGACCGACAAGACACTTCGTCTTTGGGACTTGGAGACAGGTGTTGTGTTGAAGAAGATGGAAGGGCATAGCAGTGAGGTGCATGCATTGGCGATATCGCGAGATGGTAAAATAATGGCAAGCGCTGATCGGAAGGGAGGGGTTATCGCCTGGCACGGTGAAACTGGCGAATCCATCACTCAACCCATCAAAGCCCACTCCACAGTCATCAGCTCGATGAATTTTTCTCCGGATGGAATGGTGCTGGCCACTAGTTCACATGACCACACAGTGAAGTTTTCGTGTACCAAAACGTGGCAGATGCAAGGAGAACCAATCAAGTGTGGTTCTGTCTTGTGCGTTCGATATTCGCCTTCTGGTGAACTTCTTGCCATCGCAACATCGCAAAATATCCAAATTTATAATCTAGGCACAAGGGAACGCATCGCATCTTTGACAGGTCACAAATCATGGAAGACGTCACTCGCGTGGACGCCCGATGGCACACGCCTTCTTTCAACAGGTGATCGAGACGATCCTACCATACGAGAGTGGGACACATCAACCTGGCAGCAGGTCGGTCATCCATGGAAAGGCCACACTGACACTATCAGCGCCATTGCCATTCATCCCGCTGGCACCCTCGTCGCTTCTGCCTCTCATGACAACCATGTCCGTCTCTGGCGGCTCTCAGATCAACGAACCGTTGCCATCTTCCAGCATTCATCCATCCCGAGATGTATCACGTTCTCTGTGGACGGTAAGTACATCCTCAGCGGAGGTGATGATAACAAGATCTCAGAGTGGGCAGTGCCAGAGGATGCTCATTCAAAGGCGAGTTTCTATTTCTGACTGTCATCACGCAATTCGAGCATCCTTCGTATAGATCCTTGACATCACAACAGCCCGTGATGCATGCCTAGCTGGGGATTTGTCTATCGCTGAAGAGCTCCTCACCCAAGAGATCCACACCAACGCCAACGACTTTACTTCATATGCCAATCGTTCGTTCGTTATGGCCCGGAAGCACGACTTGGACCACGCCCTTGAGGATGCAATCAAGGTGAGATGGACCCACCCATCGTTGTCCTCTTACAAAAGGCTAACTTTCATCCGTGACATAGTCAATCAACATCCGGCCATCATTGATAGGCTTTATCTCCAAAGGCATCGCCCTATGCAGAAAAGGTCACGTCCGGGAAGCAAGGGTAGCATTCGACGTTGCATCGATGTTCATGAACCAAGATTCAGAAATCAACCAATTTCTTCTCTTGATCAAGGTACATTTGATTCGTCTCCCATGCTATCCCTTTCATCTGGTATTCCAGGTCATCGCACTCTTCAACGCAGATCAACACGAGGAAGCAATGCTACTCATCAAAGACCTGGCTGCCGCTTGTCCGAAAGTCGATCCTCTCGCGCGTCGTGTCGTGGAAGTGAGTGTCATGTGGCCACTCGATCATCAACCTGAACTTTTCAACTCGCACAATAGACATATCTACGTGTTCAGCTCGGGATCAAAGCCTTGGACGATGCGCGTTACGACGAAGCTACTGATCACTTCACCGCCGCTGTCAACTCGGGGGCTTTCTCATCAAAATTTATGCCTCAAATGTACGAGGACTTGACTGTGGTGTGTCAGGATAATGCATACATAATGCTTTTTATAACCTGGTGCTTTGTCTAGCTCTTCGGTTGGGATCTCGAGTCCTTGTTGCTAACTACACACCAGAAACGGTGCCAGGCTTTCCTTTCGGCAGGTAAACCTGATGAAGCCCTCGAAGCACACAAATACATGATGGATGCCATCGACGAGACTGCGAAGGCCAGCTGTCTCGATTGGTCCAACGGCAAGTCTTCCGTCATGTCACCCACGACTATCACGCTCACCCGCGTGTCGCTCAGAGTTCAAAGAGAAATGCAGCACGCTCGCTGCGCACAACGACTGGATTCTTGGTGTACGTATCTCTTTCCTTGCCTCTTTCGATACTGACTATTATGCAGGCAGAGATCCCCGGGCAAGATCACGATGGATATGATACAGAGCCCAATTTCTTCTATGAAATGCATCAAGTGCGTGTAAGAGCGTATCTCTCTACTCTCTCTCTCATCGTTCATTACAGCATTCTCAGATTTCCAGGACAAGACTTCAACAACGAGCTGGGCGCGTTGGGCGCCTCAAAAGACTGAGGCTCGCTATGATGAGGAGGCTTCAGTCAGGTCCTGCACCTGCACCTGCGCCACCCACCACCTCACCCCCAGTCACGACCACCACCACCTTCAAAACTCACCTACGACGCCTATTTACCCTACCACTCCATCATGCAACGCCACCTGTTGTCGACGTTTCTTTTGCCCAAGGTCGACAGGTGCGCTCGGTTATTTTGTCATGACTGTTTCTTGGGTGTCTCATACTCAAATCTACAGCGTAATGCTGCAGCGGGTGCTCCTGGGAGTGAGCACTCCTTGATACGTGATGAAGACCCTTCACAGGATCCCAATACGCAACAGCAACATCAACCAGTAGCAGCTCAGGTAGACCCCGACGAACATGGAGGCGGCCTGTCCTGTTGCTGCTGCTAGAAGTATTGGTGAATGTCCATGGGTATTTTAGTTTTATCGTTCATCTTGTCATGATATCCACATCCACATTGGCTTGAAGCGGTAGTTTACCGATAGGCATCAGCATCCTTTAGCTCACTTTTGGTCCTCCGAGTCTATAGCTGATTGTGAACCTTGATTCCTTATGTAGATCTTGACTTGCGTATAAGTTACTGAGTTTCAGATATCGTGGTCGTGTACAACCACATGGCCATTCCGCATCCAAAATATATCTCGTCAACATGCAGCAGTTTATTCAAGTCTTCAGCGGCACCAGTTTACACAGAACCCCACATATTCATGTATCAACACTGCCATTCGCCTACTAACTCCACGTAAGTATCTAGAACATTTCTAAACGACTTCTGAATACTGTTCGCGTAGCATCTAGACGTGATATGAACTGGCCGCCGGCTGCCCAGACTGTGCTCAGGGAGTACACTGAACTCACCCTTGTTCTCGCCGGACGGCACTCGCATCGTAACTGCAAGTTCTTTCGACATAACTGTCCGGCTGTGGGATGCAGCGACGAAGCACTCATCGCAACAGTGCGCTCAGTAAGACCGTTCGGCGTCCTCATATGAACATCATCTCATCACGTATCCCATCGAGGCCACCACTGTCATGACAAACAATGCTTGGAGCATTCACTTCATTCGCTCATCCAACTCTGCCCATGCACTGTGTGACACTGCTGAATCAACGGAGGGAGCAAGCATCGCACGATGTCCGCGGATCGACTCCCTTTATCCTGGATTGTGACAGTGGTTGGATGGTGAGAGGAGACCTTCTTCCCAACTTCGGTACTTGACTTACAGGTGACGATAACCAGAGTTTGGTAAATCGATCCTCGTCAACTAGTCGACGTTAAGCTGACGCGCGGATAACATCAAGTAAATGAAGAAGGTGGAAGAATCTGAAATTCTGGCCTCCGAGTCACCTGAAGAACCATACAATAATGCCTTGTAGGCTCAAAAACTTGAAGGACTTCACACAAACCAACGAGACGATCTGTTCTGCTCTGCGTGGGATCGACATTGGCCCAAATAGGGATCAGACCGCTCTAGACAAACAAACTGTTTAAGATTAGCTTGCAGCGATCCTGGATTGAGTGTTATTGCTCACCTTTCAGATCTCAACTGATGCCACAGCCTGACAACATCCATGAGGACAGTGCCACCAGAGACATCTTGTACACTTTAGTGTTGGGCTTGCTGACATTGAAAGAACGAACAGCTGCGATGAGATGAATATTGGAAGTGAAAGGAAAGGTAAAGTGCCGATTGTCGAGGAGGTTTGAGACGAACACAGGCACGTCGAAGCCCATTCTTCGATTTCTAACGAAGAACTGGTATTTTTGACGAAGTCGACCCTGTTCTGTAATAAAAGGATATTAAAACATGATCGGGTTGGTTTTGAGACTTGTTAGGACGCTGTTAGGACGCTTCACATAGATGCTAGCTAGCTAGATGACCCGGGAGAGTACTCCGAGTTAAGCCTGTTATTTGTAGGACTCGAAGTCTAGCATCTCAGTGACATCACGAATCGTTCATGACCGCTCAACATGGAACTTGCAGATATATGACACTGAGCTCAAAATATCATGATTCTGGAACAACTCATCGTGAACTCCCCTGACGGCTTTGCTGTAGTCCTGATCATACCGAGTCGTGCTATCGGAGTTCAAGTGAACGTTCAAGGTTTCGGGTTAATAGTTGTCCTCCACCTCCCTGGCAATTGAAAGGGACCTCATTCACAGTCCTGATAGCGGAAAGCACATCAAAACTGTATCATAGAACCACACGTCGAGTCCCAAAACCGTCCATTTCCGCTGTTGTTAAATGGATTTGTCAACACAATAATATGAGACGATCGGAGCAGTAGAACTTCCCAACGGTCGATGATAGGGAGCTGATACAGAATCTGCGGCATCCTGGCTCTTCCTTAGACCAATATGTAAATATGCGGGCAACGGAAGTAAGCATATATCATTACATCCTGTGATTCAATGACTTCGATGGTATGTGGTGATATACGACGAGACTTGTGTAGTTTTCTCTAAGAAAAATGAACATTAGTTGCTTCCAGTGGCAATGCGGAAAGCTCACTGACATTTCATTTCAAATAGCTCGATACCAGTGAGCCGGGCCATCCTTCCCCATCGCCTCCTTCAGAGCCTTATAATTTGCCTCCGGCGGCGGGCGGGTTGACATTCGTTCTCCAACAGTAATAGGATCGTCACAGGCGAGGGCAATGCACCAGAAATATTTGCCCTTGGGAGTTTTTATTCGACGAACTCTGGCGTAGGAGAGAACGCCCGCCGCTGCCATAACATTCAAAGGAACCATGCGAAGGAGATTACGCGAGTCTTCTGGTGTCTGAGCGGGCGGATAGCCCAGATCAAGGGCTTTTTGGTGCAACCAGCCCTCAGTTATCAGATATCCGAAGTATTTTGACATGACTTGTGATTGAGGAAGCGTCAGAATATAGAATACAGACAGTTCCGACGCAATTCCATGCTCTTACCTTGAATCTGTTGTGCGAGGAAGTGACCTCTGAGCTCCAGGGACCAAGAAGCTGATGCAGGGCCAGCAACGATACCATATGGTTGAATTGTAATTTGTGGGAGTGCGTTGAAAAGTTTGAAAACGCGATTATCCAAAAGCGGATAAACCCCTGTATGCGGGAGCAACGTTCAACTCCCAAGCCAACAAATCCAGAACGGAGAGATTGATATTAACGAGTATCTAACGAACTTCTCAGCCATTTACTCTCTCGCGGGCTTCCGATGTCAGTAGGTGCCAGTAACTGATGCTTATGGTGTCACTCAGTAAGTTTGCATGCATTCGGTAGAGTTTCGAGCCTTCGATGTGACAGCACAGAGTGAATGTTGGAGCCTCAATTTGTCGATTCGTGATACTCCTCAATAATTTTCTCGATACAACAAGATATAGTAGGAACTGGCCACAGAGGGAAGCTTATGAAGGATCCTCGGCATCCTGGCCCTTCCTCCGAGTCAGACTCATATGAGTACACACGAATAATGGAAAGTAAACAATCATATGCGCTAATATACTGCTATGTCCCAGAATTCGAGAGCCTGAGCAGTATGTAATAAACTGCATAGGTGGCAATACAACGAGACTTTGATGGTTTCCCTAAGAGAGATAAACATCAGTGGTGTCCCTTGGTAATGTGGAAAGCTCACCGACGTTTCGTTTCAAATAGCTCGATACCAGTGAGGCGGTCCATCCTTTCCCAGCGCCTCCTTCAAAGCCTTATATTTTGCCTCCGGCGGCGGGCGGGTTGACATTCGTTCTCCAACAGTAATAGGATCGTCACAGGCGAGGGCAATGCACCAGAAAGATTTGCCCTTGGGAGTCTTTATTCGACGAACTCTGGCGTAGGAGAGAACGCCCGTCGCTGCCATGACATCTATCGATGCAAGGCTGATGATATCATCCGAGTCTTCGGGTGTCTTGGCGGGTGGATAGCCCACATCAAGGGCTCGTTGATGTAGCCAGCTATCGCTCACCAAATATCCATAGTATTTTACCATGACTATTATGCATGAAGAAGCGTTAGAATACAGACAGTTCGGACGCAACTGTATGCTCTCACCTTGGATCCGTAACAGTATTTGATTTCAACTTTGAACCAGGTGTAGCCCTTTTATATGGAGTGTCATGTGACAAGGCACGTGCTTCAACCTCAGATGTGTACGCGACCTGCGGTCTGTGGACCAGTGACAACTGGTGTATCGTTATTGTGTTTGCTTACTCATTGTTGCCCTCTTCTGTCTTTGGATTTGAAAGACTGAAAATTTGATCTTTTTGTTTCCTCTTCTTGGATCAACTTCTGGCCACGTCATGATCTATCCGAACACACGGAAAAAAAATGTTGAGCCACTTGAGCAAACATCAAAATTTATCGGTTTTGTCTACCATAAATGCTGTACAATAGCATCTCGTCGGAATAACCCATTCTCAGCGATATAAAAATGAAGTCTGCACAACGTATATCAACATGCTAATTAGTCGCCGTACTTCGACACACCAGCCACACACTCATAATTCGCAATGGCCCCTACCAGTGCTAGTAATCAATTACTCCCGCCAAAGGCTCGCTTGGAGACGTCATATGCGTTCTCTCGTACATTCAACTCCCGTAACATGGAATTCTATTGGTACCCACTGTGGTGTCAGACACTCTTCGATCTTGTGGCAGATGTGCCGAATTTGATTGTGGCGCCTCAATTTCCAGTTTGGATTGTAAAGCAGAATGACCAGCTTGAAGGTGCGAATGACGGTGATGATCCTGAGGAGGTGGAAGAATGGGTAGCCCAGGCAGCCTCAGAGGGTGTTGCAGCAGGCACCCAGGTCCCTGCTAACAACCAAGAAGAACTTGAAGAAGGAGACCATGAGGCTGACTCGGAGGTTGGGAACATGTCTTTCGCATCGACGGTCCTGGAAAAGGATGCTGAGAGCGTTCTGGTGGATTTTGGGATCGTCCATCTCATAGCCGTGCCTCAAGCACAAGAGAAGCCTCGCTATGGAGGGTGGAGAATAACTGCAGCAAGTGCTTGCCTTCTCGTAGAAGTGAAGAGGTTTGTGAGTAGAAGTCTGAAGGATAAGGAGCTGGACGCAGAGATTCGAACGCATATTCAGGAGGCTAGAATGGACCTGATATCACAAGCAGGACATCTCTTTATTCAAGATAAAACCAAGCAATCCGTCATGGCCATCGCCGCCGCAGGTAAGTGATTCATGCCGCATATCTGTATTACGTACCATGACCGTCATATTGCAGGTCCATACTGGAGTGGTACCACAATTCATCGTGGCGATGTTGAACGTACTATGCATCAGATCTCAAGCTACGACCCGAGCTATCGACCCCCTGGTGAAAACCTCGTTGACCAGAGGCCGAAGTGGAACAAGATTCTTCGCCTTGATGGCGCATCATCCACGGCAGCTTCTGAAGCCCGCTTACCATCAGGAAAAATCCAGATGAGAATATAGGGCTCTGTAGGCAACATAGCCTCTGTAGCCCTGTCAGTCATCCCCCCAATCTGTAGAGCAATGTAGCTCCCGAGGCCTCTACAGAGCGCTACGACATACCATGTAACATGAGAGTGACAAAATATATCTGACATAGCGCACCTGTATGTAGCATGATATAGTTCTACAAATTCCACCCACTCTACTGACACCTGCGTGATCTGAATGGCGGCTGGTCAATCATGAAACAAACGGCGGACTCGGATTTCCAATCAACATCAGACAAAGCATTATATTTTGATAGTAGTGAATTACTTATTCTCCCTGAGCCTCTGTCCCATCCCTCTCGTCCCGTTCCTCCTCCTCCTTGTCCTGCAACTCCTGCTCATACTCCAGAAGAGCATCATTGAATGCTTCCTCAGTCACGCGGGACCCAGTTGATGACATGAGGAGGAAGTCTACACCTGCATGAAACCTTCGAGTTGCCATTAGAATGCAGTAGCGTAGATTGAATGAAGACTCACCTAGCTGCATCATGCAGATTGACACGGATTTTTTCGAGGAGTTTGTAGGGGGCCGTGTGTTCCTCGAAGCGCTGCAAGGAGTCAAGATGGGTGTTGTAGACAGACACATAATTTGCTGCCGAGAACTTGACATCTTCTTTAATACCTGTACCCCACTCATCAATGCAACATTCAATCTGTCATTCAACCATATCAGTGTTGTTAACATCAGAAAAATGGTCCTAGTACTCACAGACGCCAGCAAGAGTGCCATTGTTTCGACAGGAAAAGGGTTGAAGTACTGGTGGTAAACGATGCCCTCATCGTTGCGGTTTGCAAACCACATGTGATTGACACCCATTTGTAACAAGTCTGTCTTGTAGATTCCCTGCTTCAACTCCCAGTCCTAGAGTCGCATGATTTCAATCACCAAATAATGTAGATGATTCATCACACACCTTGTAAGCAAACAGCGAACCCTCCTTGAGAGATTCTGCATGATCACGATTGCGCCTAATCACTTCCCTACTGTCATTCACACGAAAGCCAAAAAATGACCCTGTCAGGGATCGCATCTTGGTCTTTAGCTCACCGTGGACATGAGAAGTTCTCTTCAAGATCTAGATCACAATGAATGAGTCCAATACAATCACAAAATTAGACAGCTCACCATTTTCATTAACCCAGGTGTTAGTCGAACATTGATCCCTTTGGCACTGCATGCTTCACGCCAGGCCTCCTTAGCAAGCTTCGTCTCGATGAGGATCGAGTCTGGAAATGGTGCGTGAGTGACAACCAGGCACCGGAAAATTGTGATTGCAGTAGTGAGAATCTCCTTGGTGATATCATCGAAATCGCTGGCCTTCAAGCGCTGAGCTGACCCGTCCATACTTTTCTTCACCTTCGGCATGATAGGGTCTTCAAATTTTGTATCTGAGGGCCGCTTGGTGCCCAAAACAACTGGTTTGGATTCACCAATTGAGTCTCCACCGTCACCTGTCCTCCGAGTCATCCTCGTCTGCATCAAGATCATCAGCCCACTCGTCATCACTATTGTGGAAAGTAGGGTGGCGACCTGGATGAGTAGGGCTGCCGTCTGACATGGAGGCTTCACCACTACTCACCGCAGTCAAAGATGACGATGAGCCTGGGATTCAAGTGTTAGTAGTAGCTAGATGTACATTCTGAACACGCACCTTTGTAACCCTTTACGAGGCTGTTGCTTAAGGACTTGCGTGCAGAGCTTGTGTGGCGCGAAACTGGTGTGAGAGTAGGTGGTATCTTCCCAGTACTAAAGGAAAGCTTGCTATGAACATTTCGATCTGTGAACTAATTATCATTCATCAATGAGTGATCAACTACGGCTAAGAACAGAGAGACATACCATAGTGTCTTCTTCAACGTCAGCGTCACTATGGAGTTCAGCAGGCTCATTGTCGAAGACTTCAGGGTGATGTTTGAAGACAGTGCGAAGTGCCTTCACGGTCCTTTGGTTGGTCCTTTGTTTTTTCTGTTCGTGGCGTTGCTCAACATGTTGAACTTCAGAGACTAGTATATTTGGCTCAGTTAAAATCTCTGGGAGCAATTTGGACTTACTTCGATAATTTTCTTTCTCTGTGGGACGGCGTTGACGACCACTGGATGTACGTGTGGGTGATTGTCCAAGGCGAGTTGAAATATCCTTGGATCTAGTGCTGCCGTGGTCCGGTTCGGTCCGGTTCAGAGGGTCCTGGACGAGAACCGAGAACTGAACCGTGGTCCGGTTCTGCAAAATCGTCGAACCCAGAACCAGACCATCAAGAACCGTTCTCAACAGTCCGGTTCGGTTTTTTTGTGGTCCGAACGCGAACCGAACTGAAATTTTTTCAAGCGCAACAAAAATTGACATTGTAGATCTACTGACATCGAGTAACTAGTCTAACATAGCACTGCATGCTTCTCTGCTTCTACTGCTGCTGTCGGAAATGGGAGCCCTAAAGAGCGCTGGATGCGAATGGAGAGTTTGGAAGGTGTGGAGGTTGTCGAGGAATTCAGTTAGTGCTAGCTGCATTTTGAGAGGTCAGAAGCATAGTTGCGTGAATGGACGAGAGATAGATATTCACGGGGAGAGTGCTGTTTGTAGGGATATCCATGACAGACCGTAGCTGTGTCAGCGTTGTCTGCACATCCCTGCCCAGACCAGGGCCAAGATTTGTGACAGCAGCAGAAGGTCCGCAAGCACAGCGACAATCACTGAGTCAGTGCGAGATTACAACCTGACAAACAATGCAAACTGACGAGGGCCTACTGCCACAGAAAAGCACACGCGACGCAAGGCCGTCGCACACGAGAGTTGCCTCACAACCAGCGGGCGCGCCTCTTTGATCTGAAAGGCTTTACAAATATGCGATTCCGAGCAACTCGTGAGCAGAATGTGGGTCATGGGCAGGTCAGGCTCATGAAGAGCCTATGCAAGGGAAAATATGGACAACAATATCTAAGGAGATCCGTTAGAGTTGACGAAGATGGCGGCGAGCAGCAGCGGGAGATGGCAGCGAGCAGCAGAGTGAGATGGCGGTGAGCAGCAGCGTGAGATTGAGCACCAATCCCTGAGTCAGAGAGGTAGCGAGAGGATGCTGAAGGTAGCGAGAGGGCGCTGAACTTGATGGCGGGAGGGCTCCAAAGGTAGCGAGAGGGTGCCAAAGGAAGTGAGAGGGTACTGGGAGTTGGGTTGGGACGACAATGAACGTGTCAAGAAGACAGAACAATCATACAGTAGAGAAGCCATGAGAAAAGGGACAACAGGAGGTGAAGAAACGAGACATACCAGGCTCGTTGAATGCGATATGCCCATCCTCGTCGATACCACCCAGGAAGAGCTCGATACCACCACACTGCTTGATGCGAGACTCGTATGCATTGCACTCCGTGACCAAGTCTTCGGTGTTCCTGTCCAGTAAATTGACTTGGGAGGGGGGAATATCGACTGTGTTTATGATTGAACCTGGAGTCATGAATGGATAAACGCAACTTCAAGTATACTGGTTCAGCACTCACGATAAACTGCCCTCCTGGACTTTATTGATGAGGGCTTTGTAAGTTGGAATAGGAGAGGAGCCAGTTGGGAGACCGAGCACGAAAGGTTTGCTAGTGGTCGGTGCAAAGTCATTAATGCTAGTTGAAAGGAATGAGTTACAGGCAAGGAAATATGGATGAGGATGCTACCGTTTGGCAATGTAGTTGGGGACATAGTCGCCGACAGCAACAGGGTCCCTGGTGGTGTTGTCAACACGTGGCGTGGATCCAGGGAAAGTAGCGCAAGGGAAAGGAAGTGCACGAGGAGAGATGGATCTGAGTGCGTGGGTGATCAATATCTGTGACATATTTAAACAAATGTCAGTGTGTGAGAGAATCAAAATTTTGATTAGTTAGTACATACCTTCAAAAAGGCTAAAGGCAGAAGAGTAGAGTGCAAATCCCGAAGTTCGGTGTAGAGACTCATGCCTCTCATTGTGCAATATGGCAGTTTTCACTGGGGAGTACATGGCACGAACTTGTAGCATCACTCTGTGTGCTACCTGCAGCTATCTCTATATGAGGCGCAGCTTTCCTGCGCAACGCGCGCCATGTGCGCGTACCTTTCCCGCACTTCACGATGTATATGCGCGCGCGCTTTCCCGCGCTGTAGCGCCCTATAGCGCCAGCCATCCGGAAGCATCCATCCACTGTCCACCAAGTTCCCTAGTGCGTATATTCACCTGATGGTGGGGTAGTCATGCATGATAGTACTGTTACTAGAGTACAGACGTCATGCATCTTGTACTGCTATCCTAGTCTGTCATTCATGCATGGTATACATCAGGCTACACTGTCCCTTGCCATGCATGGTGTCTTGGCTGCACCCCCAGTCTTGCATAGTAGTGTCTTGCCGTCATGCATGATAGCCGCCGCCTTGCATAGTGTCTTGCCATGCATGACAGCCGCTGCCTTGCATGATACCCGCAGTGTTACCCCATGCATGTCAATCATGGCACCATACATGACAGCCGCAGTCTTGCATTGCGTCTTGCCATGCACGACAGCCGCTGCCTTGCATGATATCATGCACGACGCATGATAGTTGCCTCCCACGGTGACCGACGCCCACTGTTGCCTCTCACGGTGACCGACACCCATACCACACTGAGAATAGCAGGCCAAAATGCATCATAGTAGATAAAACGTGACTACTGTACAAGCATGTATCTCAAAAATCAAACAGTGAATGTTGCTGTGTCGATGCTTGTTGCTGCTGGGAGGGTAGGTGTCGTCCACAATGCCTGAAATTGAGCCAATAAAGCCCTGCGCAGCGATGCCTGGCGTTCGGCATAGGCCTTCAAACCTTCCCTCAAGCAGTCATCCAAGTGTTCTGAATCGCGGCCTTGTCTTTGACACCACCACCAGTCTGCCTGCCAGTCCAGGAATGCAATGACCCGCCGTTGCTCCTCCTTCAGCAAATCGACCTCCTCCTCCCATCGCATCGCGCGCGCGCGCGCCTTGCACCATTCGATACGAAGGGCTAACCATAAGCATGTCTGTCAGTGCAAGCAAATTGAAAAATATTAGGCCTTACCATCATGTAGGCCAACACTGGCGTCCTCTGCCACCCCCGGTGTCTTCCAGATCCACGACAGGTGTCTCGTCCCCTCCGTCTCCTTTTCCCACATGTCCTTCAACGATTTCAGGTCCCTGTTGCGATTGAGAGGCTTGAATATATCTTGCCAGGCCGGGCCTTCATCGAGAATCTGCGCCAGAGCAGTGAGCGCCGCCCTCGCAACTTCATAACGCTCAGCGGCCATGCTGACTTTGACATCGGTCTTATTGATAGTACTTCTTGCGCGGGTATTAGCTGCTTGGCCGACGATGTTGTTATCCTTGAATTTATATAGGTGTGAGCGGAGACGCAAAAGATTTCGAATGTCCTTTAACGCATCATTTGCTTGGGCGTAGCGTAACATCCATTCGAAGCGATGAAGCTGAGTAGGACACTGTGTGTCTGGGCCGACTGCAGATGGTAGCCACAGATTAATAGCTTCGACAGCGGGTGTTGCATCCGTAGAGGAGCGTGCACAATCTTCATTGGCGCGTAGGCGAGACATGAATGGCATATAAAGCAATTGGATCTCCTGCCACCCATCAACTTTCCTGCGTAATGTATTGGCATGCAGCTGGACCTTAGCGAGTTGGTGGTCGGTTGCATGGGCGCCGAGTGCTGCTATCTCATGTGATAAACGTCGTCTGTGTGCTCATTAGTTCTTTGCTCGTGAATTCACGAGCTGGTTAACTTACTGTTGATCTTCTAGGTCAATTGCGGAACTGATTAATACCGAGGGGGGGACTTCTGCATGAAGGGAGACATTTGTGCCAGACTCAAGTTCTGCGGCTTCAATACGTGCGAGTTCTAGACGAATAGCAGCCTGTGTCTCGGCTAATAAAGTCAACGGAGAGAAATTGAAACGAACAAAAACACATACGTGCTACTCGGACCTTGAATGGATTTGGCTGCATGCGATCCAGTTCCCAAGCCTCTATGTCAATTCTCCATTCGGAAATATCTTGTGCTTGCAGGCAGCTTTCAAGTTCCAAAAGCTCGCGTTGATGATCGGCTTTTTGCTCCACGGCGTTTGCTAATTTTCGAGCAGTGAGTCGTCCTAAGTGCAATATTGCATCATGATTAGTAGAAAGAACAAAATGCCAACGACAATGCTTACCAAGCTGGACAACACGCTTCCAATTCCAATCACCGAAATGGTCATCGAGTGTATCACGCCGAGAGCCTGGGCCCATCTCCTTGGTGCTTGATGCGATCGGGTTAATATTAGCCCACCCGCATTCCGGAGCTTCGCCATCAGTACGACCAACATGCCGAGAGAAATTAAAAGAAAAATCAATCTGGCATGGCTCGATGTGGGCCGGTAGATGGAATTTTGGAATAAGAAAGTTGACCTGTTTGTTGTCGTGATCCAGATGAAACGCGGAAGGAAGCTTTGACATCCGCGACCACAGATGCTTGGACCATTGACACGCGATATCGTATGATATGTTGAGAACGATGACGTCGTGGTGTTTCATTGCCGAAAAAAATAGGTAATCCATATTAATGTACCTGTGCAGTGTTGTAAGGCGGTAGCGTGACAAAATAAACAATGGGGAATACATACTTCTCGCCCTTCTGTAAGTCACCAACTGCGTTGCGAAGTTTCATATTGTGCCTGGCACAATCCACCGTCCCAACATCTGTAGCGGCAAGGCCTCTAGACTTCTTTGTATCGGCCATATTCACAGCGTTGTGACTGGCGCATGTACTGCGCTATCGGTGACTGAGTTGTTTGCAACAATCGTTGACCAAAAAAAGACTTACCTCCTGGTTCCGGTCTTTATTGTCTTCTAGATATGATTTGTATGCCTTCTCCTCCACAAAATACGACCATCCCTTACTGACTCCAGGATCAACAATATCACTTGATACCAACTTCCGCTTCAGACGGAAGTTGGCATCGATGCCAACGAATAAAGCATACAGCCATCTGTGTTTGGATTAGAAGGTAAAGAATTTTGAACCAATATGGAACTTACCGCTTATCAAGCGAGGCGTTCTCCCAGTTCTCCGGCAGGTTTTTTCCGGGGTGCGGACAGGCAGGGCAGAGCACTGCGCACTGTCCAGGCTCTGTTGTCACGACGCCATCCGGACAGTGTCCCCGAGCGAAACGTTTGAGCAACTTGAGGATTCGCCATTCGTGCACTACTCGCAAGAATGTAGGATAACGGTCCTGTAGTTCTTGTTATCACAGTGCTTCGCAATAAGTAAATAAAATACCTTTGGCGGATCCATGCCCGTATTGTTGGATAAGCGCGCGAGGGCTTGATAGAACTCAAACGCGGAGGCTTTAGACTCAAAAGACAGTAAGTGATACTGTTCGAGCACGCCGAAAGTAGCCGCAGTTTTGGGGTCAGTAATGGTTGCTGGAAAGAGTCGAGAGCGTAGCAGTTGCTTAACGTGTGTTTGCATGGTCCCACAAGCACAGAAATCCAGTCCCACTTCATGTATTCCAGTCGAGTCGATTATTATGAAGTCGTCATTGAACGCACGGTGAGGGTTGCAGCACGTGTCTCCGATACGGTGCCCCAGCTGAATGCGTAACCCCAATGACTTGAGGGTGATTCGTTCGAAGTAGTTACCATTCCAGCGCTGCATAATAGTAAATACCGGATGTCAGCGGATCCTAAAGTATAGATCTTGGGAATCACATTACCTGAAGACGATGTAAGGGCAGACATCGGTGCCGTTGAAGGTGAGGAATCTTGACTATAGGTGAAACGCTAAAGCTAACGGGGGTTCTACAGTAAGACCAGGATACGAGAATACGACTCGACCCAAAGGACAGCTACTGAGAGAAGTTCCTCTTTAATGTAATGGAGGGAGTCTTCGCCAACTAGACGGGTGGTAACAGGCGCGCGAAGGCGCGAGAAGATAAGGCGCGCGAAGGCGCGAGAAGATAACACGCGCGTAGGCGCGAGTAAGCAAATGCGAAGGCGCGCGAAGGGCGCGCGCGAGCGAAAGATGCGAGGGGCGCGCGCGTATACGGAAGCGTGCTTTTGAGCGATGGGGGAGAGAGTTCAAGTATAACAGGTGCGCGAGCGATGGTAGAATAGTGAAGTATGATCGGATTTCAAGTACTAAGGTGCACTTATACAACTTGCAGTATACTCAGATAAGGGAGAAGGGAAGGAAGTCTGTTAAAAGGAACTTTCCCTCTATTTAAGAAGGGAGATTACGCTATGCGGTGCGCTTGCGAGCGTGGTACCGAACCGAGTAACCATATCAACTCTAAATATATTCTAAAGCCTATGATAGACTTTCTATATGTAAGCGCGGAGATCGGACCGAAGGTACGTCAATTCAGTGAAAGGGATAAGAATAACGCACCAGTAAATCAGCGAGGACATAGGACGGACGGATGGACAAGGGTACGAAGGCCTAAGGGGAGGCGCACGAGCGCGCGCGAAAGGCGCGAGTGCGTGTAAGGCGCGCGAACGAGGCGCGTACGTAGGGCGCGCGCTTGAGAGCGCGTATGACTGATCCTTCGGATAAGAGCTGGAACGTGTAGGGAATTATGTGGGTAATAGGGCCGTATATTCCGCATTGAGAGGCGCGAGTCTCTACACCGTTCCACAGTACACGAAGGGCAGTAGAGTTCCTGTAAGAAGCAATCTGCGCATCGGATGGTTGGGGCATGTTCTTGACAGTGTCGACAGACAGAATCCTCGGCGTAATCTCCGCGGCCTTCCAGGCGAATCATCTCGTCCAAAAATGTGGGGCATTCCGGCTGCCATGCTGCAAGGGGGTGATCCTGGTAGGTACAGGATAAGCAAAATGTTGAGAATAAAGAACAAAACTTACCCCGGCTGTGCGTTTCCTCTTCGAAGTCTCAGTCTCGACGCGAAACTCGTCAGGAATCGGCATATAGTCGAGGAAAGAGCCAGCTTGGTATATTTGCCATTGGTTAGATGCTGGTGGTGAATCCTCATTACGGAGAAGAGTCGTAGGGGGGACAGTTGTGGGAGCAACATGGGCGCCAACCAGGGACTCCGTGCGTACTAAGGGCTTGCCAGATTGGAATGTGTACATGGAGGCCGTGTGGATGTTGGCTGAAGGCGTGTCTGCAAGCTGCTCAGCAGTATGACGCACTAACTTCTGTTTTTTCTTGCCCATTGTGAACGCAGACAGTAAAAAACGAATGAAAAAACGAATGAATTCATCACAGCGAATAAATTTGAGACACGCCTTATCAATTGCATCACCCGACATCCAAGGATCTTGCAGTGGTGAATCAAAGAAGTGTTTGTTTGTATCTGTTGAATTTAGACGCATCCGCCAAGCCTTCCTGAGACTCACCTAGTATTACACTTGCATACACCATGACTATTACGTTGTGGGCGATGAATCTATCGCCTTCCTCTCCCACCCAGAATCAGTCGCGAGCCTCCATGGTACTACCATAAATAAGCTGCCAGACGGTAAGTGTCTTTCTCCCATCACTCCACTTCAACCCGAACACGAACATTACTTTACTAGATGACATCAAACAACCCAAGCTCGGTGTCTTCTAGTCACGCAGTCGGTAAGTTTATGATATTTTTTTTAAAATGTGCACTGACTCTCTCTAGATGCTCTTGTGACAGCACTCATGAATCTTAACATGAGTTCTGTCACTGCCCATGCACTCGTTACCATCATCCAAGCAATTGCAGATGGTGGCCAGACCATTCCGTCAGCAGCCGTTCACCCTGGACAGAAAGATCACACAGCCGATTGTGATGTTGAAGACAATGCTGATGAGGGAGCTGAGGCTACTCCAGCCTCCACCACCACTCCACCGCTCTCCTCCACCACACTGGCACCCGATATCGGCAGTATTGCTGAAGCCATCGCGAAACTCTCGCTCTGCAACAATGCAGACTTAGTTGGGACCAACGCAGACTTAGTTGGGCTTCCGCCCAGATCAGTTTCGTATAAAGGGTTCCCATACGAGATTCCGGATCTGTCTGCTGAAGGGCCCTTCTACTGCGTGATTAAAGGCAAACGTGTTGGAGTTTTGGCCACTTGGTACGCCTTTTTTTTGGCTCTATCTTACGCACTTAACAATCAACCAACAGGGAAGACACTTCTCCCCAAGTCACGGGGGTCAGTGGTGCTATCCATAGCCGCTGTCCGTCAGTTGAAGTAGGCGTTGCACGGATCCATGCAGCCATTGAACGCAATAATTGTCAGTACTTGGGGGCGTGATATACTGTATATACAAGTCAAGTAGTTGTTCATAGTGTGTATCATCCGAGTCACGGCAATACTGAATTGGTTCTCTTGATCGAACATACGAGTGAAGGGAAGGCTAGTAGTTGAACGAACGCGGCACTGATAAATAAATCTCCTAAGAAAGTATTCTGCGGCAGGTAAAACATACAACACGCCTACCACCATGTAATGCTGGCCTTGTCCTGCATCAGACTCTGTTTATTTCATGAATACAGTCGTTTATCTTGGTATGTTGCATGAAAAAATGTTGCTGAGCATGTATTCTTGAGTCTTGCAGTGCATACAACGAACAGGCATTCAAACTCGAATTAGGTAACTTAGCGACTCGGATGTGATCACGCATCATTCGTACTACTTACTAGTCTTTCTCTCTCTCTCAGTCTCGACATTCAACACCTCTTTCACACTCCTACCATGGCTCGGAAAAAACTGCACAAGTCCAACAAAGAACGCCAAGAAGCTGCTAAGGGATACAGAAAGGTGTATTATGAGAGGTACGTTCATGTTCTTTCGAGTCGCAGTCGCTAGTGTTCATTGCATCCTCCAACAGAAACAAAGTCGCCATCTTGAAAAAGATGAAATTAAAGTATCATGATAGTACATCGAAGCATCCGCAGCATCCAAGGTATCTACGCACAACCCTTCAGAACTCCGAGTCAAACGATACAGGAGACAGCGGCGATACAGGAGCCAGCGACCTCACTACTAGATTGTATGTACTCAATCGCCATATCATTTCAAACTCACTTTGACAACAAACCTTTAGATCTGAACCGCAGATTAAATTCCATAGGCTTGTCAATGGGTCCACCCATAAGTTCTTGGATGACCTGGTGTTGCAGTATACGGGTAGCACTCGTTCCGAAGACTCACGGCGGCCTATTCTGGATGCACTTGATATCGCTCAAGAGGCCGAAGAAGCAGTTACAAGAAGTGGAGATGATGGTATGCAGTGCCAGGCAAGTCATACTATTTCTTGAAGACATTCTCTTGCGTGTTTTTGAAGATGATGACATCACATCTGCACATAGTCGAGGATTTCTTAGGTATCAGTTGACATCCGATTTCATTATTATGTAGTGATACAGGTTGATAGCTGTACTACGTGTAGATTGGGTGACCGCATCAATGAGATTCAGGTTAATAGACTCAAGCGTGCCGTGTGCTGCCGTGTGTTCATGTCATTCGGCAATTGCCTTGTGGCTTGATGGAGCTGTATTGATGCTGTAAAATTTTCATTTTGTTATTTTTGCACTCAGGCGTCAAAACGTTAAATCCCCATCACGAAATTCAAAGAGAGCGAAAGGTGCGCGGCCGATCAATTTTTCACACAATTGCCTAACATATATCTCACAGATGGTTGCTAGTGAATGGACATCTAAGGAGCAGAAGGAGTGGTTAACGGCACAGCTTCCCGGGTATCAAAAGTGCTCGACTAAATCTAGCTATGCAAAGTTCTGGCCCCCCATCTATGAGCAATGGGAGCAGCAATGGCCCATATATAAAGAGCTCTGGCCAGAACTTCCCGATGAGGATGGTCTGAATGCCGTACAATCGGCAGCAAAGGGGAAGGCAGTAAAGAGGCGTCAGAAGGTGATGTCGTTAGTTAATTGTGAGCTTGAGATCTTAACCGAAAAGTAAATGAAGCAACTGCGCACCTGGATGTCGTGGCATTCGGGTAATTCCGCATCTCGCAAAGGCAGAGTGGCGCAATCTTCCACATGGGCCACTCGTTTACTCAAGGACCTCCTCCAGCCTCGGGGTGCAAGAGCTCTGAGCGAGGCCGAAATGTACTCCCGACTATATTATAAAACCAATATCCGTCCAACTGTCGAAGCTGCAGTTAGCGAACGTGGCTCCACAACAAGAGGTGAAAGACTAACGATTGCTACGAGAGGTCACACGTCAATGTTGGGGAGCGAGAAGCCGATGAGACTATTATTGCGGACCGTCAAGGCCAGGATGAAATGCAAAGAAGAATCGAGGAAGGGCGAATACTGATGCAGATGATGAAGACGCCGAGGCTCTGGAGGACGAAAGATGAAGAGGAGCATCACCAACCAACCGAGGATATGCTTGAGTACGTTCTTCTCGACTATTTTTTTTGATTTGTTTGTTGAGCAACATGTCATTCAAACAGAGCACAGGAAAACTTACCTGCTATCTTCAACACAATCCTCACGTACCTCGAGCACCAAACTGGGTTTTCGTTCTTGGTGTTAATGGGTGGGCCAGATCCCTCGAACAACAACAAAATC